TACCGCTATAGGCCCCGTCAAGTTATACCGCATGAAATCACTCCCTGTCCCTGATGTGGCTTTTGACATGTCAGTACAAGTCATCAATTTTTCCTTATTATTCGGCTCTAGAAAAAGCAGAAATTTAAGTGAGTTAATAAAAAATCAACTCTTATTAAATCCCGCGGCCCGAACATCCCTTCAAAGCCCCAACCCCAGAAAACCATCAAGGAGACCTATCAGAAGCGCACGCACCACCACCACCACATCCTCATCTGGCCCAATACCTACATCGGGTCTGTCGTCAGGAGCAAGCAGAGCCTCTGGGTTTTCGAATATTTTTTCGACAAAATTCTTGTCGAGACGGCTATGCGAAGAGGAGGATGTATAAACAGGTATTTTCTTGTGGAATCTTGTTGGTCGGAGTCTGAAATTTTCACGACAACTCTTGCGGGTAAAACTATGGAATTAATCAATTCGATATCCTAGGGAAATATATTTGAGGAAGAAAGTGATACTGAGGCTGGTATATCAATTAGAGTTGTATTGATCCCTTAGGAGATTAGAATTATGACTCCTTAATTAATTAAAATACTTGTGGACCATTCCACTTATTTTAATTAATTAAATAATATTAAATGGGTCACCAACATAATATTATTGCACTCTATTTTCCTAGCCCAAATTTACAATTGAGACTCCAATAATAATTATTCGATTTATCTCCACATGTTTAAGATATAATGTCCATTAATTTATTCGATTACTGACAGTCAAGAATTAATTAATTTATTATTATTTCACTGAAGCTAGCGTTCGTTCATCACATTATTACTATGTCAGAATTTAATCCACCTGCAGGGTTTAACAACGCCCTATGGCGCGCGAGCCCAAGTCCGTAGCGCACGCCCAGTGGTGCGCCGTGTGTAGTCGTGCCGCAGCGCCCAGTAGCGTACCGCCAGCGGACGTGCGCGCAGTGCACGCCAGCCACGCCTGACACAAGCTGACACTCGTTCGAGAGGAAAATTTGAACCAGCATGAGTTTATATCTAACCTTTCCAACTTCAAAGCCGAAAAACCACAATCATTCTCTTTCTTCTTACGATCCCTTTCAAAGAAACTATGCTAGCTTATTGATTCCAAACCAAGCATTTCATATTGGACGCTCCTTAATAACCAACAGTTGGCTTCATAACAAAACGTCTACGCGGATATAGCATATCATTTTTCGAAAAAGATGGACTAATTAGAATAAAATTTTGCCTACTTCTTTTCTATCTTTTTTTCTTTCTTTTTGAAAAGAAGTGTACTTGTTCACGTATCTGTTACAGCGATGATTGATAAGCAATCCTTGAGGAAAAACTTGAGAAAAAGACATAATAGTTAGTTAAAAACAAAAAACTTGTTGATATTCTACGGCAGACATCTCCAGAACATCACAAGGTACCCAAATTTTATTGGGATGGGACTCCCTTCATTTTTATTACGTCTTTGACAATTTAAGTTGTTCTTATCACAACTTTATATTTGTGATTTTTATTTTGGCAAAAGGGTCCAGTCCACCTCATTTGTTTTTGTATTTTTTTTTTTTTTTTTGTACAATTGTTTTTGTATTTTCATGTTAAATGCTAAAAACAAGTTGGCCCTTGGAAGCTAGTTGATGGAATTTAATTTATTGCCATCTCTTTTATCCATTTTAGCCACCGTTTAATTTTCAAATAAATGAGAGAGAACATAATATGATTCCCAAACCTTATACCTATATAAGGATTATTTCATAAAATGTCAAATGATTTTGTCAAATGATGTTCATTGTTCGTTAATACAATCAGCTATTAGTCACTTCTTATCAAGCAAGGCATGAATCGGCCTTATAATTAGATTGACATACCACACGACAAATTGTTAATTGAATTAATTAGTCAAACAAATCAATACATTTGGTTCTTCGTTATTATAGTAAGCTATTAGCTACTTATTATTAAACAAGGCCTACGTCGACTTAATAGCTAGATTGGCATACCACATCAAAATGCTAATTAAATTCGTTAGTCCAACTAATTAATATAATTCTTTGTTCGTTAATACAGTCAACTATTAGCTACTTCTCATCAACAAGGCCTATGTTGGCCTAGTAGTTAGATTGACATACCACATGACAAACCACTAATTGAATTCGTTGGTCAAATCAACTAATACAATTCGTTGTTCGTTAAAACAGTCAACTATTAGCTACTTCTTATCAAACAAGACTTATGTCGATCTAATAGTTAGTTGGCATAACACATGACAAACCGTTAATTGAGTTCGTCAGTCAAACCAACTAATACAATTCGTTGTTCGTTAATACAATCAGCTATTAATAACTTCTTATAAAAAAGACTAATTTCAACCTAATAGTTAGATGGACATACCAGATGACATAATCCCTAATTAAATTCGTAGTCAAACCAATCAATACAAACAAGGGTCATACGTAATAGTTAGATTGACATACCACATAACAAACCTTAAATGAATTCGTTACTCAAACTAACTAATACATTTTTTTTTTTTTTTTGTTTACAGTCATCTATTAGTTACTTCTTATCAAACAAGAGTCGACCTAATAGTTAAATTGACATACCACATGATAATTCCTAATTGAATTCGTTTGTCAGACCAACTAATACATTTCATTGTTCATATAAAATTATTTATTAGCTACTTCTTATCAAACAAGAGTCGGCCTAATAGTTAAATGATACTATACCACATGACATACCGTTAATTAAATTCGTTAATCAAATCAGCTATTACAATTCGTATTTATCCACTACCTAGTTCTTATCACCCCACCAACCCTTTCTAGTAAAGTTTTGTTTTCTATAGACCACAAACAAAACCCACACGTATACCCTATTTGACCCACGCGTGTCCATATCACCAACAGCGATGAACATAGACAAAAACTCGATCCCAAAACACACCTAAAAAGGCAAATAGAACCAGACAAATACAAAATGGAGGCCGGAAAATGGGTAGCCACGGCGGCGAGCATTTGGATCCAGTGCAGCTGCGGCGCTTCCTACGCCTTCGGAATCTACTCGCCCCTCCTCAAATCCAGCCAGGGCTACGACCAGTCCACCCTCGACACCGTCTCCGTCTTCAAGGACATCGGCGCCAACGCCGGCGTCCTCTCCGGCCTCCTCTACTCCGCCGCCCCCCGCCGTCCATGGATCGTCCTCGCCGCTGGCGCCGCCCAGTGCCTCGCCGGATACTCTTTCCTCTGGCTCGCCGTCACCAGAGCCGTGCCGCGGCCGCCCGTGGCGGCCACGTGCCTGTTCATGTTCTTCGCCGCCCACGCGCAGACGTTCTTCAACACCGCGAATGTCGTCACGGCCGTACGCAATTTCCCCGACTACAGCGGCACCATCGTCGGGATTATGAAGGTTGGGGCTTTAATTTTGCTTTTGCTATAATTTTGCTTTTGCTATATTTACGGAAGTGACTTTGCTAAATATGGAAAATGCTATTTGTACCGCAGGGATTGTACCGCATGATTTACCCCTCATTGAAAACGTATTATGAGAATACGTTTTTCAAATAATTTAATTGAAAAAACGTATTCTCATAATACGTTTTTCAACTAAAGTGTAAACCCTGCGGTACAAGTTGCGGTACGTGTAGCATTGTCCGCTAAATATATAATGCTGAAAAATTTGTGATGATTTCATAAAACATGTTTATGATATCAAAAGGTTATTATCTCTATTTAGTAGTAGTAAACTTAAAGATTCATTTTTTTTTTAAATTTTTTTTTTTAATTATTATTATTTTCAGTTTTTATTCCATTGTATATAACCAGACAAGCAATTGCTGTAGTGCCACATACATATATATTGTTTTAACTAGTACAACACCAGTGTATTACATGGGTGTTTGCTAATTTTTTTCTTAAAATCTAAAATTAACGAGAAAAAAGTAGTTTGAAAATTTAAATACCTTTTATAAGAATATATATTTTTATATATTTACAATGACACTTTTTATTTGTGCGACTTCCATGTGTTATATTATACTATTTTTTTTAACTTACAATATATAATACATTACATATAAATATATCAATTGAGAAATAATTTTATTTTACTAATGAATTTTAATAATTATATTTATTTTTTTAATAAATATTATTATTTTTTATTATTATAAAGATAAATATAATTTATATATACAATATTGATGTCAAATCGAAGATCATCAAAAGATGATTAATTTGATATATTATATATGGAAAACCGATAAGAAATACAAAAGTTATCAACTTTTACAATACAACTTATTGGAGGAAACAAATCAAAATTCACGGATATATTAGTGACTTAGTGTCTCACTATGTAAAATTACAAAGAATTAAAAAGTTATATTAGTACAAGTGATATTAAAGTACTTAAGTTAGCTAAATAATATTTATGAAATACCCGAACCTAAATTATAATTATTAATATATTAATATTATTTGTCCAAACATAATTACAAAACATGATTTTAGCCAAATAGGATTTCGAAGCACCAGAAGCAGCCACGCAGGCTCAACGCATTCGAGAATTATATATAGGGAGGATAATAATATTTTAGGGAAATTTCCATTCCGTCATGAATTGTAACTGTTAGATCATCATATAACCGTCGTGGATAGTTGACCTAACGGTTAAAAACCCCGACGGAATAATTCCGTATCGAGACGGTAGAATCTTCTAATATTTTATATTAGAAAAATGCTACAAGTACTGAGTACATAATAAATGTACATAGAGGTGTACATAACAATCACATGGAGTGGGGTTCACTTAATTTTTTATTTTTGACGGGTCTCACTCAATGTAAGTGTTATGTACACCCCTATGTACAATATTATGTACACCCCTATGTACAATATTATATACTTATAGCATTACTCTTAATTGAGATATAATTGTGACCGGAAAATACTACAAGTACATGTAGTGGGGTTCACTTGATTTTTATATTTGGTAAGTATCATTCAATGTGAGTGTTATGTACACCTCTATGTATAATATTACGTAACTATAACATTTCTCCTCAATTAATATACTTTAATGTATCACCTACACTATACATTGATTAGCTTATGAGACAAATGACATCTCCACTTGTAATTTTCTAGTCCAAAAAAACTCTTCCACGCATGGTTGTTGCGACGTGCGAATACGTGTGATTTAGAACTTTTATGTGTTCACTTTATATGAGATGAAATTTTTTTGACTGCAAATATATGAGATGAAAATGTAATGGATACAAAATAAGTAGAATACTATCATCCCGTATATTTTGAAAGCGTTGGATTATCTACACATTATCAAATTATGTGTAGATCTATGGCTAAAAAGCATAAATGAACCGGGATGGTAGTATTCTCCTACAAAATAATATGAATTTATAGATTTATTTATTTTTTATTGTTACTCTGCAGGGCTTCCTTGGCCTGAGTGGTGCAGTACTCATACAAGTTTACCAGACACTATTTGCCAATAAACCAAGCACTTTCCTACTAATGCTTGCCTTATTACCATCTCTAATGTCCCTTACCTTAATGTTCCTAGTAAGAGTCGATGCAAAAAAACCCACAAACCACAACAAGAGCTACTTAAACGGCTTCTCGTTGATCTCGATTCTCCTCGCAACTTATCTCATGTTCCTAATAATCTTGAACAACGTTGTCCCGTTGCCTCAGTGGGCCCGCCTTCTAACCTTGTCTCTTCTTGTGATCCTCCTCTCTTCGCCAATCAAAGTTGCCGTAAAAGCTCACAAACACAATTCGGAAAGACCTTCATCCACTCTAAAGACACCATTAGTTGACGATCAAGGGCCTGAAAATCCCGTGCAAAACACAAATGTTGCCGGGGAAGAGCTTAATATTTTGCAAGCCGTGCGTACTTTGAACTTTTGGCTTTTGTTTGTGGCGATGTTGTGTGGGATGGGTTCGGGTCTTGCCACTATCAACAACATTAGCCAAATTGGGGAGTCCCTTGGGTACACGGTTAGAGAGAGGAGCACATTGGTCTCGTTGTGGAGTATATGGAATTTTCTTGGCCGGTTAGGGGCCGGTTTTGTTTCGGATATTTTCTTGCACCGAAAAGGGTTGGCGAGGCCGTTGTTCATGGCTCTTACTTTGGCGGCTATGGCGGGTGGCCACATCATCATTGGCTCGGGTTTTCCAGGTAGTTATTCATCATTAGCCACATAATCAATCGATAATGGTGCAATTTGGTTCAAAAACACGTGAAACTATAAGTTGTAAAGCCAAAACGGAAAGTTAGGGGATACAGATTTGTTCCCGTTTTAACCCGAAAAAACCAGTCAAAAATTGTGTATATAAATTTGTCCCAACTAATTCAACTCGAGTCAACTCTCCTATTTTTTATAATCATAATTAAATAATCAATCAATCATCCTCACACATCACATTAATTTTAATTCACTACTCATTGACTCAAATAATTTTAACTATCACTTTCAATTATCTCTCGTCTACTTTTACATGACATTAACTTTAATCATTACATTTTAAATATTATTTAATATCAAACTCAAAATCATTCATTCAATCTATATTTTCAAAATAATTCATTTTAACCAACCAAAACCAGTTAAAACCGAACAAATTTGTATCCAAACACCCCCTTGTTAGTTCGAAATTGCCGCTTATTTCAGTTTTGTATTTACTTGGCAAAAATCGATAGCTAAAATACTTATGTGACTAGCTAGCTACCCACCATTTTTGTTTACGACATGGCAAATCAAAATTTGGCCGAACAGAACCTACATTATCATCAAAATTACAAACTTGTGTATTATGATGACTCGTAACATTCATTAATTTGTTGTGGCCTTTGTTCCCTACAGGCAACTTATACGTGGGTTCAGTTTTAGTTGGTGTTTGTTACGGTTCGCAATGGTCTTTGATGCCCACCATAACCAGTGAGATATTCGGAATTTCTCATATGGGGACTATATTCAACACCATTGCAATTGCGAGCCCTCTCGGATCGTATCTACTGTCTGTGAGGGTAATAGGGTATATTTACGACAGACAAGAATCGAGCACGGATGGGTCTTGCACTGGCACTCATTGTTTCATGTTGTCCTTTTTCATAATGGCTTGTGTTAGTTTTGTTGGGTTCTTGGTGGCTTTGGGTTTGCTGGTTAAGACAAGGGGAGTTTATGCTAGGATTATCCAGAGAAGCATGTGGACTTGAGAATATGCCCAAATGAACTCAAGTGTACAGGTGATTTTGTTCAGTTTTTTCTGTTGTTTTTTTTTTTTCCTGAAATTTGGGGATTTTGATAGTACATGTAGCCATAAAGTATATATAATATTGAATTAGCCTTTTCGTGTAATATATATATTGAACTGAATTATATTTGAGTTCATTCTCATAATGACTCGCCCCTTTTCAAATATCTTTTCGAGAGCAAAACATTCTCGATATGTACGATTCATTTGGGCCAGCAATTTTCCGTCATTATCATGGCAATACCGACAGTGACATACAAAAGATTCTCTCCTAAGTTCCCCATAAACTATGGGTAAAAAATGATTCAACGCTCGGCATCTAATCTGTACATAACTTGTATTTTTACCCAAGTACCAAGAAAATGCATATAAATTGTAGCAGCCGTTGATAATCAATCAGCAAATTCTTATTACTATCTTCAGCCAAAACTTGGATATGAGAAGATTTAATCACAGGAATTAGACGGCCAGCTACAAAATGATGGCACGCACATCAACACCTTGGTATCATGAGCATCAAACCTTAATTCTCACGATCTCCTGAAATAATTTGTCGAAAGTTCCTTCTCACAGCTTCACAAAATCCGTTCCCATTTCTCTCCACTGTAAACAAAATTGGGTGTTGTACTAACATTGTAATTTCTTTCGAGTTGAGCTAACCTCAAAAGCCCCGTAAGAACCGCAGTTTGGTATGTCTTGTCGGGTCAAACACTGAGTACGGCCCAGCTCCACGTCTTGTAAGTAACATTTGAATGTCTATAGTAAGTACTAATTTACAGCTTCAAATAAGAGGACTTGGGGTTGCAAATGTCCTTTTCCACACATTGTAAGCACATCTTTC